CATTACAGACACTAACAAACAAACAAAGAAACACGTACAAGAATTGTCTCGTCTGTCCTCCATTGTGTACAACTGCATGGTGAATGGATTGTCAATGGACTAATGTTGTCTCTTCACAACGATAATCATTGTAATCCATTTTGAAAGAGTTGTTATTTGTGAATACACAGGGTTTGGACGTGGAATGCAAATTACAAGCTGATAAATACGAGAGATTAATAAATACGTCAATTGTTTGACCCACACAGATGTTCGTAGATAACACCATGTAAGTGGCCATGGCCTAATTTAAGTTATTACCCCCGAATCTGCTTGTAGGAAATGAGGAACCCCCATTAACAAACTTCAAACAGAGTAGGCTGTATACTCGTTAAGAATCAAACGAACCAGCTGAGTGGTTAGATTTGCCTCATATTCGGAAGATTTACTGTGATGAAGTGGTTTTGTTGTACAGAGAAAAAGTCTTAAATAGTTCACAGCTAATTTCACATATACCTAGTTTTATCATAACGATATAATTACCATATCCAATGTTGTACGATATACGAGGTGCGATCGAAAGGTTTCCAGACTGCGCGTATAAAAACCCGTGCACTTATCTCAGGTATTAAATTCATCCATCACCCTCGAAGTAGTTCCCCTGGGAGTGAACACAACGATCCCAGCGCCGCTGCCAAGCCTGGAAGCATCCCTGGAAATCTTTCTTTGTCAGCCTGGGTTTTTATAGGCGCAGTCTTGAAACTTTCCGATCGCACCTCGTATATCGACGAATTTGAGGAAGCGTTATAAATAAAATACATTCAGAAACAAATAAACTAACTCAAGACCCTAAAAAGTCAGAGGACGATTAATTTCTTCTGTACTTTACGACCTACAACCCTTCAAGGACGAATCAGTTCGGGCAAAATCCTAAGGTACGTCCCTAACTAAACCCTTATCCTAGCGTAGAAAACATTGGAACGATTTATGAAACATTTTATCACAATCAGACCTCTTAATTTTAAAATCAGCCTTTTTTTAAAGTTACTTTCATTACAGAAAGTGTTTCGTGCGTTCCCAGACAAAGAGGTACTCAGTAGGATTAAATTAAGCAGAAGGAATTCAAAATGAATTTCTCTCACTATACAGAATATCACTTAAGTCCTTCAACACGGGGAATATTAGTAAGTAATCCAATGAGATGAAAAATCAGCTGCTACGCTGACATAAGAACGTCCGTTTCCACTATTTATAAAAGTTGTCTCTGGAACTTAAAGCATTTCTCTCACAGTTTTCCAGAGCCGTAGTTAATAAATATTTACCACCATATTTTTATACCGTTGCTTGGCAACGGGACTTTTTCATTAAAAAAAACACCCAAGGACACAACGCGAAATTTACACGCAGAGTGCCACCAATTACATTCTGTCCGTAATAAAACATAAGTTTGAAATGAATACCATCTGGTCAGTCAGAGAAACAAAAATTGACCTGAAATGTGGGTTAGCGAGAGTCCCGTCCAATTACAGCCTCAATAAATCAAAGGGCGATATAATATCAGGCCTGATACATAGTTGATTGAGGTTCAATTCGGCCTTTCGTAAATTAATTACTTATACACAAGACCCTCAATTATGATGTCTGTTGATTGATTTGTGTGTCTCGTTTACAGAGGTCGCTGGGTGATGCCATTATCGTCGTAGCACAACGGGGCTTCGTGTAAAATTATGATTGAGGAGAAAATTGTAAAAAAAAATATTGGAACGGCACAGATTTATCAATTGCAATATTTAACCTGGAAAACATGACCCGTCAAAGTTTACGGGAATGATCTATTTTCTTATGTTTTAACAGTGATACAATTTATTACAAAATTATCTCTGAAAATCGTAATTTAAGTTATGAAATTAATAAAAATTCCTCCTTTTTGAAGTAAATTAAATGTGAAAACATCTTTGCGGCGACTGGAGTCAGATTGCTGCAAAATTCAGACTTAGCTAGATCCCACCTTACACTCCAAAATTGCCATGTTTGCGTTTCTTGCTACCAGAGTCGACACAGTCAGATCTTAATTTTAATCGCACAAACTGCGCACTCATACAGTCAAGCGTGACGGACATTGGTTTTTATATTACGTATAGACAGAGGCTTCAAGGAGTTGCTGAAACCTAACCTACACAGACAGTGTAGCTGGGAGGCAGCGCCACACACGGGCAACTTGTAAATTAGTTTACGTTTCATTGTACCCTACCTGACAAGTCCAGAAGCTAGGGTTACAGAAGTAGGATTGGGGCGAATTATCTGTCTGTCAGTCCGTTACAGCAGTGAACTATTAGCAAACGTGTGGGCTAAGATGTATTCGGATACATAAACACACTTTCCAAAAATCATTCTTTGTAATTTCTCAAACGTCATAATATTCATTGTTCATTTGTTTCAGATACAAATTCAATGTTAAAAATGTAGTCACACTACGAATGCAAAGCATAGGACATGAATTCCTCCTTCTTGTATTTACGTAAACAATAGCAACATCGAAAATTATTTATATTTCTCAGAAATCTGAACTTCGATTTAATCTTCTCGTAAAAGTAGGAAGAATATCTATATTGGACAGATATGAAACAAAAACTTGCAACAATTTTTTTGTAGAAAGCATACACAAAAAATTCCCTGAAATTCATTGAATTATTTCTGAGGAGAAACATGCAAATAGTCCAAAACCACATAATCACTCACCTCCCTACCTACAAGCACAACCTATGCAAATGAAACAACATAGTTAACACTTTCTCTGTCACACACGAGATATCACGTTTATAAGAAATGATTTTTCTGGAATAGAATTATGTGGTATTTTGTATGGTCAGCGAAAGAGACGTGTCCTGCCAACTCTCAACAGTTAAAAAATTACACATCCCACCTATTCAGCAACAAAGATTAATCCTATACGTTCCCATGGAAACGTACAGAAGTGATTTCTTTAAATAAAACAATAAACATCCTGGAGACAAGCATATTACTTATAAGAAGTAAATCCATGGAGTACAGTCCCCCCCCCTGAGAATCTACCAGCCGCTCAGCTAGTGAAGAAGATACTCGATTTTTTTGTAATCTGAAGGTTCATCACCGTGTTCACAACAGCCCTCCACCGGTCCCCGTCCTGAGCCATATGAATCTAATGGACAGGCTAACAACCCCTATTTCCGTAAGAATCAATGACAAATTTCGGTACGTATCATTCTCCCGTCTGCGCCTAGATCTTCCGAGTGATCTCTTACGTCGAGGCATCCCAACCAATATTTTACAAGCATATCTCATTTTTCGTTCCCGCGCTACATTCCTAGCCCATCTCACACCCCCTTGACTTGAACGTCATCACACCATGCGATGAACAGTACAAATTATAAAGCTCATAATTCAAATTTTCAAGCCTCCTGTCACTTCAACCCAGTTGGGCCCCAAACATTCCCCTCGGCACCCTGGTTCCGTACACCCTCAATTTGTGTTTTTGTCCCTGAAGCGAGATACATTTATAATACGAGAGACGGGGCCTACACGAGCCCATTCGGATGTCTTATGAAGCCCGCGGGGAAGCACTTGTTCGCGAGTAATTACAACTCCGGAAGGCAGAGAAGGCATCGTGCCACCTACCTGCTGTCAGTCTCGTTGCCCATCTAAATGTAAATCAGTCCTCGAGAGCCGGTCGCGGGTCTGCGGGATTTTGATGAGCATGGACCAATATGGAACAGCTAAATTCCACGTCAGCAACAAATCTGGAAAAAGAAACTGACCATTAAATCGAAGAAAGAATTAAGAAATTATTATGAAAATCTATTAAATAATTTAACGAACAGCGCGGTTGGGTAGGAAAAATATCTGATTCATATTCGAGAGATCCTGGGTTTAATTATCTGTTTATACGCCGAGAATTTTCGATTTATTTAAGCAAGAAATACAGTAGACCATGAAGTGTAATTTTTCACGTTGAATGAATGAGCTGTCTCTTGTCTGTAGTTCCGAACCCATTCAAGCAGCAGACACGTGCCGAAATGAAACAATTATCTTTGAATGTGTTTGTAATATGAGTCTGAATGCAAATTAATCAAGTTTGTATAACGATTACAGAACATTTTATATGAAACAAATTACCGAAACATTTAATACGGCCCTGAAGCCTCACCTTTGACAGAAAAATTTGTTTCATATTTTCAAGCCCTTTATAAATACAAAAGGGAAATAAAATAAAATTTGCTAGTTGTGTAGCTAAGTGATGACTCAGTGTGACTGACGGTTTTACCCGTTCATTAATGCCTAACTGCCTTTCACCCCTTAAAATTAGGGTGATAACTATATTTATCAGTTGTTTTTAAGCCCCATAAATCTGCATTTTATATTCATGGGTATTGTACGATTTTTATAACATTTCCTTAAACACGTCAAACAGTTGATCTTTGTAATGGTGAAGAGTTGTGTTTTCTTTGCGGTACGGACTGAATTCATAAATATTATTTACACAGACTTCGGTTTTAAAGGTTTAATACATTTTCTGTCAGATAAATGTAATCGCAAACCAGAGATGTGCTTAATATGAAGCAGGAGTGCTAACCACTCGCGCGTGACCAAACTACATGCCCCGTGTTGACCCAGAATTGTTCAGTGTCTGGCCAGAAGCGCTCGTGTCCGTCAATCTAGCGTTACTCCGCTCTGCTGGTGATATGTTTAATTTATTCCTGTTTCCTTTCGTGACTCCACGCTAACAGATCCGCTGTTTCTGAGCCTGACAGTCGCTCTGTTACGATTTGAACTTCTTGGTAACATTGTTCCCCCTCCAATTTTCCATTAAAAAATCGTACAGTCTATGTGCAGATTTCGAGAGACTTCGATGTGTTTCAATTTCGTACTGCGTTGGGGAAATGTTTATTCTTTTTATCCGTCACGTGACTCACCTACTAAAAGACACGTCTCAGAAAATAAAATTTCAGGACCAAACCTTTACTCACATAAGTATATTTCGAGAAATTAATACTAATTTGATATAATTTATAAATTAGTATTTTAATCATGTTTTATCCCGGATTTTCCGACCTCGTTCTAACTTTTGATGCACGTCAAAGAATTCTGAAGCCGTTAATATTTGATCAGTGTTTCCTGACACGTGGACTTGTTAGCTTTTCCTTCGCTAGAAGTAGATCATTTTACTTAGGGAAGCCCGTCCTTTGTAACTTCGTAATCTGTGCGCCAGTTTGGGCGTTACGCGTAGAAACAGAACAATTCCCAAGCTGACCTGAAGGAAACAAGTTTCATTAAACAAGTTTCCCGAAGTTGTGTGTGTTTGTGAGCGTTTTACTTGCCGCCTACGGGATAGACAACCCTTTTCACCGCTCTCTTTGTCCCGACTAATTATTAAATCATTACTACAGAAAACAGGGAATAAAGCATTCTCGTATCACGGAATTAAAAATTACCCCTACTTTGTAAAAATCAAATTAAAATACACGTCAGACTATAAAGAAGCCAGTTACAGATTAAGTGGTAGAAACAAGCTGGACGGAGCCTGACATTAATAAAATCTGTACGGACATAACAACCCAGTCTCCCATCTGAAGGCTATTTAAGAGGCCCCAAGGTTCATTACCCTGCTCACAAAAGCTCGCCAGATGAATCCAATGTACACACTTCAAGTCACTTAGAAAACATTTGGCCAACATTCCGGGCGAACACAACATCAGGGAACTTCAGAAAACTGCCATTTTGGTATCTTCATACATTATTCGAAAAACGCTGTAGTAAAATATATAGTCATCCCTCACAATAAAACTATATAATACATGTA